AAGCAGGTGGTGAGTGTGACCCAGGAAAGCTGGCCTGGTGACGTGAGACTGAACCCACTTCAGGGTGACAAGCCTCCCACGTGACTGCCCTGCCAAAAAAAAAGGATTGTGAGACGAATCCTGTTAAAAGGTTTTGTAATGTGAATCTGCTGAAGGGAAGGTTTTGCAAAGTGAATCCCCCTAAGAGGAGGCTCTGTGAGCTGGTCCCCTCAGAGGGGACATGTGGAACCTGTTGAGTGTGGGCAGTCACCCTGGGTGGGTGGTGGGTTCAGACCCCACTTTGGGGCCTCACCTTGTGCTTTGCCTAATAACCTTCCTTAACTGGGTACCCCCTTCCCCCAACATCTTTCTTCTGTTTTTAGCTGAAGATGGCACTTAAGGTGATGGCTTGGGCCATTTCAGAGAGTGACTCAGTTTTCCTGGGCAGTTTCCTGGGCAAGAAGTATACATGCTATTAAACTTCTGTTTTTTCTCACTTATTACAGGAGGGCCTAAGCCAAGAACCTAGAAAGGTATAGGGAAAATTATTTTTCATCCTTATCCATGCAGTTGAGTACTATGCAGCAATAGCAAGGAATGGACCATCAACCCACGCAAAGACATGGATGAATTTTATGTATGCATTGCCAAGTGAAAGAATCCACTCTGAAGAGCCTACACAGTGCGACCAATTTACACAACATTCTGGAAAAGGCAAAACTACACAGATGGTAATCAGTTCATGGGGTGGGGTTGGGGTAGAAGTATTCCATGCAGTTCTTTACTGACACACACCACTATGCGTTTGCCAAAACCCAGAGATTTTTTTCCAGCCCAAAGAATAAGGTAGGACATCCAGTTGGTGTCAGAGTATCGGTCATTGGTGTGGGAAAAACTGCATGCACACCACACGTGCATTTGTGAGGCTTGAGAAACACCAGCCACAGTTCTCAAAGGTTATTAATCCCCTGCAGAATGTGGAAATGAGAATTAATCAGTGGCCCTTCCTCTCTAGTCAGTGATGGACACCAGGACTCTGCATGTTTGACAAGTGCACCAGGGATCCTTATGAGTGAAACTGTGAAAGCATGGCTGACAAGATAAGGACCAGTTCTTAACATGGCTCAAATCTCATCAGGTATGGCCAGCGGGGTCATTTCAGTGTTACTCATACTTTCCTTGAAGAGACGCACCAGCATTTCCTTTATGGGACACATGCTGGTCTGCTTTACTGTCTTGTCCACACATAGCCTTTTTACTGGAACCTTTTCATTCCTAACTTTGCCCTCCTGGACTTTATCTCATTCTATAGGAATCTGCTTACTTAGGCAGTCTCCTTCTGAAGAAAAGACTTTTTTTTTTCTAAATTCAATGTATGGCTTGTAAAGTGAAGTAAGCACCAACCTCTATGGGAAATACCCTAAGAGACTTAAGGGCATGAGGCTACCTGGGATCCACAGAACTGTCCCAAGACCTCTGTCCAACTAAGTGACACTCAGAAAGTGATCAGGGGATGCGTAGAGGTGTCTCACTTAGGGTCCAGGGATTAACTACCAGTCCTCCAAGCTCCCTGTATCTCCCCTTTCCCATATTATATAGCCTGAGATTCCCACCTCCTAGGTTTGGGGACATGCATCTGTGCATATTATGGGAAAAGACTACCCGGGCAGCAGAAGAGGGAATGCTGAGAAAAAGAGAAACTGCTCATGACTGCTTAAACCTGGGAATTCTTGAGCTCTAGTTTTAGGTACAGAGGCATTTACAGAAAGAGCTCTTCAATGCAATTAGAGGGGTAAGCTGAGCTCGGGGGACATGAACTCAGCCCTAGAGACCTGGAGGAGCAGTGAGCAGAGCTGCTCCCCCTCCTCTATATGAAACCCAGGGTAGTTCCAGTTCTACTGCCTAAGAAAAAGATATCTTCCAAAATTTAAATTGATTTTGGTTCACATGTTAATATGAAATAAATGTTAAACTTGGAGAAGACGGTATTTGTTCTATCAACCAAAAAATAATGCAGGAGGCTGCAAACAACAAAAGAGTTTATTTTGGGGGGGTCTTAAGAATTGCAATTCAGGAGACACAGACTTGGTAACCCCAGAGGAGTGTTCAGGAGAACAGCAAGAGTCAGGGGCTTATAAAGACAAAAAGCCACAAAGTTGTTAAAACTTGCCTGGTGAGAATTGTAATTAATGCTGATGAGAGTCAGAAATTATTTGTCCTTGGGAATCACAAGTTGTTTTAGGGTAAGGGTGCAATACGTAGATAGGCTGTCATGAGTTTCTGGCAGATGTTCTGGATGACTTCATCAGGTCAAAAAGTCAGATTCCATCCAGGCTGAGAGATGCATTAGGTCACACTTCCTTAATGGTCTCCTGGCTGCATTTTAGAGAACTCTCTCAGCAATACTGACTCCATTTTGATTTTCCTTTCACAGTTCTGGGAAAATCAGAAGCGTGTCTTCTTTTGGAAAAATCTCTGTAGCGTGAATAGTTGGGATCTGATCTTGCCAAATTCTAGCCAGCGTGAACTTCAAATTTTCCAAAATAAATAGATATTAACTTAAAACATTCTTTTTCTATTATTTATTTTATATGTATTAGTGTATATATGTCAATCCCAATCTCCCAATTCATCCCACCCACCACCCCAGTCGCTTTCGCCCCTTGGTATCCATACATTTGTTCTCTACATCTGTGTCTCAATTTCTGCTTTGCAAACCAGTTCTGTACCATTCTTCTCGATTCCACATATATGTGTTAATATACGATATTTGTTTTTCTCTTTCTGACTTACTTCACTCTGTATGACAGTCACTAGGTCCATCCACGTCTCTACAAATGACCCAATTTCGTTCCTTTTTATGGCTAATATTCCATTGTATATATGTACCACATCTTCTTTATCCATTTGTCTGTTGATGGGCATTTAGGTTGCTTCCATGACCTGGCTATTGTAAATAGTGCTGCAATGAACATTGGGGTGCATGTGTCTTTTTGAATTATTGTTTTCTCTGGATATATGCCCAGTGGTGGGATTGCAGAGTCGTATGGTAATTCTATTTTTAGATTGTTAAGGAACCTCCATGCTGTTCTCCATAGTGGCTGTATCAATTTACATTCCCACCAACAGTACAAGAAGGTTCCCTTTTCTCCACACCCTCTCCAGCATTTGTTGTCTGTAGATTTTCTGATGATGCCCATTCTAACTGGTGTGAGGTGATACCTCATTGTAGCTTTGATTTGCATTTCTCTAATGATTAGTGATGTTGAGCAGCTTTTCATGTGCCTCTTGGCCATCTGTATGTCTTCTTTGGAGAAATATCTATTTAGGTCTTCTGTCATTTTTTGATTGGGTTGAAGACAAACATTCTTTGCTTGACCAAACTTTAGGCTCCTAAAGCTTCTCTTATGCCCATCTATGCACTTCCTTGTAAAATCCAGTTTTAGCAAGAATGCTGCTAACTCAGTTCAACGAGAATCCACCACCCTCGATACCTGCTCAGGTTCCTCATTCTCTACTATTCCACAGGTGATGTCTGATCACCATGGAGTGTCTTCTGAAAGAAACCTGCTCATCAGTTTAGCCAGAATTTCCCTTACCCATGATGCTTCCTCTTAGTAATTTTCTATCCACTGACCCCCCCCCACCCTGCTCATTGGCTATAAATTCCCACTTCATCCTGTATTTGGAGTTCAGCCCAATCTCTCTCACCCAATACAAAATCCCACTGCAGTGGTTCCTATACCAATTGGGGAGATAGCCCACCCCCAGAATAAAATCTTCCTTATGATGCTTTGTCGAGGAACATTCAATTAACTGTCAAGTTAAGAAGAAAACTTGATAGTTAATTGAATTAGGAAGAAAAAAGGGAATTTTTATTTGAACCAAACTGAGGATTATAAGTCGGGAAGCAGATTCTCAGAAAGCTCTGACTGTTAGAACTCTAGGACATAGTCAAGTACATTTTTGAGACAAACGATCATACATCAAAATGACATACTGATATTTTACAGAAAGTTCACCAAGGATACATAATCCAGGTAAGCCCATACAAAGCGAGCTGCAAGTCATTACCCCCTAAAGGGCTGGGAAAGAACATTATTGTTTTAAGAAGTTACATTGCTAGCTTAAGAAGAAAGAAAAAAAAAATTGATCTTTATGATTGAGCAGGCACCCCCATCTTTGAGGAGCTCTGGTTAACACGTAATGCATATGCACACAGCACGTTATGGAGGGAGGAGGTCCAAACACAGAAAATTTTATGTTTAATTTTTTTCTTGTCCCGCCTTAAAATATAAATTTATTTCATCAGCTTTAACAAGTATTACTGAAGTTTTTTCTTTAACACTAACATTCTTTCGCATAGCTGTGGGAATATAGATAAGGAAAATGGGAAAATATTTAGAAATTAACAACAAATTATGTGATGCCATCCACGCTTGGCCCCATGAAGTCCCCGATACTGAGCCCAGGGCGGCGTCTCTGGTGAACCGGGAGCAGAAATGGAAATCATGGTCGCTCTGGTTTCCATCGCCAGCACAGACAATTCCAGCCCTTGCTAAACTGAATAACCCATTCCAAGAGCAGGAACCACAGACGTTGTTCGGGATCCCACCACGGCCCACTTGGACCCAGCGAGGTCCCCGCCCGAGGCCGAGTCGCGCCCCGGGCACTCGCAGGACACGAGTCTCCAGGCGCGAAAAGGGATGTCGACCTAAACCGTTTTCAACATGTTAACAGGGAAACATCCCAGCATTTACCACGAAAGGGCTCACAGCTCTAAGCTCGTTCCTAGAGTTGTCCGAAACACTTAACTTGAAGCCCCGAGGACGCAGCCCGGCTCCCGGGACACCAGCCGAATCAACCGCACACAAACGCTGAGGATGGAGGTGTGTCCGGCCGGGGTAGGGGCTGACCCGGAAACGGCCGGGAGCTGGGCGGGAAAGCTCAGGCCTCGCCCACGCCCACGCTGCTCCGCCCCGCCTCTCCCTGACTAAGGCCCCGCCCCACTTGCGTAATTTCCTGCCGACGCGGAAGCGGATTTCGGGAGCGAAGGTCCCCTCGGGTGAGTGGGCCCCTCGGCTCTGAGAATCAGAGCCGCGCTCCACAGCCCCCTTCCCGACCGCATCCTTCACACGCAGGTTCTGGGGGTCCCCGTTCTCGCCCCTCCGGCCCGCGTCGCCCTGAGACTCGGGATGCCGGGCGCTCGGCTGCCGGGTCCGAGTCCGCGTCCGTTTCCGGTCAAAATCGCTCCGAGGCCGTCCCCGTCAGGCCTTTCTGCCTTCGGTCTCTTCACCTTTTCCCGGCCCGACCCGCGCCGTGTCAGGTCCCCACTCGCGACGTGGACTCTCGCCCTTCGCGCCCCGCATCGGCCCCTCGGGGCAGCCCAGGACGCCGCGCCCTCCCGCGGCCCTGGGACTCCACAGACCCCAGTGTTCTCCTGAGACCACCTGCCCATCCTGGGCCTCCTGCGGCCTGGCCGTGCCGCTCTCTGCCCTTCGCGGTCACCGCTTCAGAAAGGCCCTAGAGCGCCGGGCTGGGGGCAGGGGATCAGTCCTGTGAAGTGACACCCCGTGTCCTTCTGTCCCAAATCCTATCCGCTGGCGATACCGACCAACGTGTGTCCACATTCCCGATGTCTCACGGGAAAGTGTGCCCTTCTGGTTAGAGCATCTTTGTTCCACCCCTGTTTATGTCGAGAGGGCGGGGGAAGATGAGACAGAACAAGGAGACCACTTTTTAATTTATTGGTCTGTGAGCTAGTTTCCAGCTAAGTATATGCTCTTTTCAAATGCCCTTTGTTTTTTTGTTTGTTTTGCAAATATTGAATGATAGGCTGGATGGTTCTAGAACTTTGTTCTCACAGACCTCATTTGTTCATGTTGAATACATTATTCAGAGCTATTTCCACAGCTGAACTTTTGTGTTTTCCAATGCCGATAATTAAGTGTTCTTAATGTTATATTTTTTGATATATTCATGGAAATGTATATTTTGATATTTATTATGGAAAAGAGAAATTAAATGATTTTAATCAGTATGATTAAAAACATGACAGAGAACTTGCTCTTGCTCGGGAGAATTAAATATGATCTGGAATCTTTAGGGGCAGGGGTGAGAATGGTAAGCCTTGCCACTATCCAGTCCAGACCACCCCATGCCTGTGAGGCCAGTAATGGTTACTCTCTCCTGTTCACATCTCTTCCTGCCCCCAAACACACACACATAGTACAAAGGCAGCTGGTAGGGAAAGACCAAGAGTTTTTAAACTAAGCACAGAGCAAAGTTATTTCTCCAATGAGGAGATGACACTTGGCTCTGGGAAAGGGGCTGGAGGAGAAAGGGCAATGCAGTTTGGATGTTAAGGAATGGAAGAGAGCCTGGGAAGCTCAGGAACAGGAGAAAAGGAGACCTCTGCCCATCCTTACTTGGGGATCCTGTGCTCAGCAGGTACTAGAAGACACTGTGAGGATGGTGACTTGAAAGGTAGGGTCACACCAACTCACATTCCCATATCTGCCATGTGATGTGTGGGCTTTACATCGTAGAAGGGTGTATAGAGTAAAGGGCAGAGAAACTTAGCTGTTGGTCTCCATGTAGGAGTTTATCGTCCCTGCTCCCTGATAGTTCAGCAGACAGCAGAGGACTATTTTTTCCAAATGTTGAATTTCTCCCTACATATGTGGTTGTGGCCAGGAAGGGGATAAGTTATTTGAAGACCTGAATGGCACATTCTCAACACTCAGGAGTGACATCTTGCCTGAGAGAGACACTCGGAGGAGGAAGAAGATGAGTCAAGGGCTTCCCTGGTGGCGCAGTGGTTGAGAGTCCGCCTGCCGATGCAGGGGACACGGGTTCGTGCCCCGATCCGGGAGGATCCCACATGCCACGGAGCGGCTGGGCCCGTGAGCCATGGCCGCTGAGCCTGCGCGTCCGGAGCCTGTGCTCCGCAACGGGAGAGGCCACAACAGTGAGAGGCCCGCGTACCGCAAAAAAAAAAAAAAAAAGATGAGTCAGGAATAAATCTTTATCTGGAAAAGGTCATATTATCTGTTGATTGTTCTGTCCTCTCCTTCCTGAAGTGCTGCTTTTAGGATGTGCTAAAATTTGACTCTCAGATATCCTGCCTAACACATTTCCTCACTCACTGATGGCCTCTCCTATCTCCAGACCAATTCTATCTCACTGTCAACCAGTGACATGGAACTTGTGAAGTGGCTCCATTTGGGGGATCGTTATGAGAAATGCTGCATGCCCAGACATTGATTAGAGACAAGGACTGGGCACCATAGTGTCAGTAAGATTTGCCAGTAGGGATTGCATAGTGACCAGATCTGGATGTACTATAGACCAAGATTAAAGAAACTGCACACATTAGTACTGAATTAATGTTAGGAATACCTAAAAAATCATGGAGAAGAGGAAATTTGTTCTACCTGATTTTGTAATATATCTGAAGCTTAACAAAGTGAATCTGTGTATTTGGCCTCAAAATATTAATGATTTGCAATAGAAGGGAGAGATTAGAAACTTAGCCATGACAAATTAAGGTGGCATTTCATCCACATAATGTAGTATATTTTATTCCGTAATTGTTTAAAAATAGAATCAACCCAAATGTTTAATAGAGGATTTTAACACTGTTCACATCACATCCGTTCCAGGGAGACTTTGGTGTTCATGGATTTGTAAAGAATTGACTTTTCTACAGATATTTGAGGGTTCCTTCTCTTTGGGTATTTGGGGTTTCATTGCTGGGCCAAGAGATGGTACGTTTCATTTTGTAATAGATCCTGGCACGATTCCCCGTACACACATAATACACAACAAGAAATCCACATCCATCATCAACTCCTGAGGTTAACCAGGAGTTAACCAGGATTCATTTTAAATGTATTTATTTTTTAATTTATTTTTGGCTGCGTTGGGTCTTCATTGCTGTGTGCGGGCTTTCTCTAGTTGCGGCGAGCGGGGGTTACTCTTTGTTGCACTGAGCGGGCTTCTCATTGCGGTGGCTTCTCTTATTGCGGAGCACAGGCTCTAGGAGCACGGGCTTCAGTAGTTGCGGCACGGAGGCTCAGTAGTTGTGGCTTATGGGCTCTAGACGCAGGCTCAGTAGTTGTAGTGCACGGGCTTAGTTGCTCCGCGGCATGTGGGATCTTCCCGGACCAGGGCTCAAACCCGTGTCCCCTGCATTGGCAGGCGGATTCTTAACCACTGCACCACCAGTTAAGCTCTTCATTTTATATATATATATATATATATTTTTTATATATACATATATATATGGTTATAGATTTGGATAAAATGACAACTCTTTTTAATTTCCATTTTACTAATTAAGAGACTGAATGATTGTTGCTTTTTATAGACATGTATATGTAAAATGAATTTTTCTACTTATTTTCTGCTTATATTTTATAGTTTATAGTTTAATTATACACACACACATATGTGCACACTCTGGTCTGATAACATTGATGAAGTGAAACCAGAATCCTTCCTTCATGTCCTTTGCTTTTTTTTCTTTCCTTTGCAAGGTGTCACCTATTTCATAGTATAAAATATTATGTTCATTTAGTCATAATATATTGTTTGTTTCAACTATTTAATTTGAATTATTTTAAAGTTTCACATAATATAGGTTCAGGTGTAATTTGACCTGTCTCTATTTTTTTTTTTCCCTTTTCACAATTATTTTGGCTGTATCCTCATCCCAAATCAAAATTGAGACAAAATTGACTTTTAGGATAATTCTCATTTTTTATGTGAAATATCACATATGAATTTGGGGGTGGTGTATACTTGTTTTACAATGTTGTGTTTCAGATGTACAGCAAAGTGGTTCAGTTATACATGTACATATATACATTCTTTTTTAGATTCTGATTATGACTTCTAAATCTGAGTTGTACCAAATTTCTGCAGTTATTGAGAGTTTTTTTGTCACCATGTCCTCTAGTCTAAGAATTTGGTTTGGCAGGCTTTATTCATGTCGTATTTATGTCCTCAAAAAGTTTTAAAATTTCTTTACATGGGTTTGCAAATTTATCTCAAGTGAGAGTCATAATATTTTGCTGTTGTACATAGAGACTAGCTTTTGTGTGTTTACTTAGTTTTTAAATTATTGTTACTAAACAGGAAATATTGATTTCAGTATATTAAGATTGGATTTGTTCTCTTTAAAAAATATTAGGTATGATAGTTAAAATGGATTCCCCAATTCCTTTTTTTGTTTAAAATCGTATCTTCTGAGAATCAACACAGTTTCAGCTCTTTGATGCTATTTTTGAATTTCCTCTCCTTTTCTCTCTTTTCTTGGCTCTGATTCAAGCACCCAGTGCACTGATTTCTAGGATACTTCCTACTTCTATTTCCTTCTGATAATAAGTTTAGTTCTCTGGTAACCTGTCTTTAGGTTTATATAGAAACACCATATTGTAACTTAATATTTATGTTTATTAAATTGTAAATGCATTAAGTGGAGGCAATAATCATGTCATTGTTTTGCTTTACTGTATGCCCAGCCCGTAGCACTAAGTCTGACTTGTAATTGGTGCCCAACAATATCTGAGAAACAACAAAAAATTGTTTTGTTTATGTTTCCTTTTCTTTTTCTTTCATATCCTTCCACCTCCCCCACCATAATTTCATTACCCACACCCTGTGCCAGACAAACATCATCCAGTTCTTAAAACTCATTAAACCTTTCTGAATTACTTAACTCCATTCTTCAACAAAAGGCTCATTTACAAACACAAGTTTTCCTGTCACTTTCTTGCTTTCAGTTCTCCAGTGAATTCCCATTAGCTTTAGAAGAAGGACCAATCCAATTACAGTGGCCTTTGGGCCCTGAAATCTACTTGCCTGACACCCTCTCCAGGTCTTCCTGTCACTCACCTGCCTTCCAATGTGTTCTCATTTCCTGGGGTACAACACATTCTATGATGTGTCCATGATTTTATACTTGTTCCTAAATCAGAAAGAAAAAACAAACTTCTGAACCTATTTCCATTTCTGCAAAACTGCCTCAAACTTTTTGCCCAACTGAATTTTTAAGGTGTCATAAATAATGTGTGTATTTCTAGAGAGCTTCCCCACCTCCACAAATGAAACACTTTAGTATATGTTCACAGAGTATCCTTGTCATTATTTCTTTTTTTTCCTTATTTCTTTAATCTGTTCTAAGCTAGTATTTTAACTCCATAAGGACAAGTGATCTCTCTGCTTTATTCATCAGTATGATTTCACTCCCTGCTATGGTCTTGGCTCTGAGTTGACATGAAACATTGATTTGTGGCAAAGGGAGATCATCACTTACCTCAAATATGTTGCAGTAAATGGGCTGAAAAGACATAGACCATCTCAGAAATACATGAAAATCAAATAGTTGATAAAAAGTAATACATACTAAATCCTTTTTTTTACTGTCAGAAGAGTATAATTTTAAAAAAGAAAATTACAAAGAATTTCTTATGGGATCGAGTATTTCTTATGCCTATATCTAAAATGAAAATATATTGCTTGATTTTCCTTCAGAAATAATATCCTTCTATAAAGTAATGTCTTAAGATTTTTAAGTGTTTAATTTCCTTTTTAATATCAGTTTTTTAAAATATGCTACTTAGATGAGAATTCCTTGGTGGTCTAGTGGTTAGAATTCAGGCTGTCACTGCCATGGTCCGGGTTCAATCCCTGGTCGGGGAACTGAGATCCTGCAAGTCCCACAGCACAGCCCCACCCCCCAAAACAAATCCTCTTTAGAGACAGAAAGTAGAATGGTGGTTTCCAGGCATTAGGAGGAGGGGGGAATAGGGAGTAGTTGTTTAATGGGTACAGAGTTTCTGTTTTACAAGATGAAGAGGGTGTTGGAGATGGATGGCAGTGATGGTTGCACAATATTATGAATGTATTTAACACCACTGAACTATACACTTAAAAATGACTAAGATGGTAAATGTTATGTGTATTTTACCACAATAAAAATAATTAAATTCTGTCTATAATAAAATCAGTCCTGAAATTGATCATTTATTCTGGAAATCCTTAATATTATGAGGATTGTAGGGTTTTACAGTTTTTAGGACATGAGCTAGATCTGACTTGAAGAGACCTATCACTGGATGAGCTTTTTCTCACTTGGTAGTAAAAACGAAAGATATTTTCCTTCGGTAGATATTTATTCAGCACAAACACTTACACTTCTGTAGAGTCACACTTATGTCCACAGCCTGAGAAAATGATGGTAGATTACAAATCCTCCTACAAATAAAAATAAAGAGCAGGAAGGGGTCTCTTGGCTGCAGATTCTCAGTACTGCCCAGAACAACCAAAATCCATAAAACCCTGAAGTCTCTGAGAAAAGGCAGGAAGTTTGCTTTTGAGACTTTTAGAAGAAGCAGAATTAAAGGATATAATTTATTGTCCTTAATTTCATCTACAGGGTTTATCAAAAGAGGCATTTCTTGATACATTTATCTTGATTGGGACCCAAGTTAATCAGATTTGTCCTTTGGATTACAACACTGATGAGGTTGCCAACTGCATTAAAAGAGAGTTCACCATCAAAATGATGCATTTTCTAGAAAGAGAAAGAAGCCCTGAACTCTGGAATGTTGTGTCAGCATCCTCGATAAATATTTGGTTTCACTGGATTTTCCATCTGTTTGGGTTCTGGTGAGTACTGGCGATCATTTTCACCAGGAGGGATAGTCCTCCTTTATTTTGTAAATGATTTTTTGTGAAGAGAGGTGTTCATTTTGGTAAGAATTCAGTGACAGGATCTCTGAGGAATTGACATTCAAACAGATTGAAGGAAGTAAGTATGGGGTAGGAAATTGTGTTTGTGGATCTGAGTAGAAATGAAGGATAATAGTGAACAGTGTAGAAGTAGTAGCAATGCTAAATTGTATTTGTGATGTTCTGAGAGAGCATATAAAATGTCAACCCAGGCTTCCCCAGTGGCGCAGGGCTTCCCTGGTGGCGCAGTGGTTGAGAGTCTGCCTGCCGATGCAGGGGACACAGGTTCGTGCCCCAGTCTGGGAAGATTCCACATGCCGAGGAGCAGCTGGGCCTGTGAGCCATGGCCGCTGAGCCTATGCGTCCGGAGCCTGTGCTCCACAACAGGAGAGGCCACAACAGTAAGAGGCCCACGTACCGCAAAAAAAAAAAAAGTCAACCCTTGGATGTCTGGTGGAGACATTGAAGTTTAGAGACTAGATAAAGAGTAATATTTGGGGAAAGTGGGAGATAATGTCCTGAGATCTATTTCCTTTCTAGTGTATGTTAGTTTCAAAAAAAAAAAAAAGCAAACTCAGAAATAGAATTCAGATACGAGTTTTGTCACTTTCAATTTAGAAAAATAATGGAAGAAATTGAAGCAATTGAATAAATATGTGGGCATACCTGGGCAGTGTACGTAAGTAGAGAAGGATGAAGGAGTAGGATGGAGTCTTGAGGTCTTTCAACAATATTGTTTGAGAAGTTCTTGGCAAGTGATAAGGAGTTAGAATGACAAGATTCCTTTGAAGACTGTAGACTGAGATGTTAGAGAAACCTAGGAAAAAGTATATTCCTAAAAAGAGGTCATGTTATACTTTTTATTAAGCTCTAGGTAAAAGCCTGAGGCACATACGTTGGATTTATTTATGCAGATATTATCGGTACGATAAGTCAAGTGGTGACTGGGATGTGAGGATTTGGCAACTGCACCTTCATCTTTCAGTTTGATTGTAAAGGCAAGAAGGGAAAAGTAGGGATGGATTGAGGCACCAGGGGGCTGGAACGGAGCTGGAGAAACTGCTAGTGCACAGAGTAAGAATGATTCAACCTAAGAAGTTCCACAGTGGTTACTAGAGGTGGGGACACATGTGACATGAATCAGGGATCCCTATGGTTCGGAATTCGGAGGGGATTGGACAGTTCTGAACACCAGGGTTTAATTAGCATACAAAACTCAATGGTTTTTCACATTCTGCTCTCTAAATTGAAGGTATTTATATCTTCTTTACTAGCAACAATAGTCATAGCCTTCTTGCGTTTGATCCTGGTAGAGGAGAGCTCTAGCCCTATTTCTCTTAGAGCACATTGCATGTTTCTTGTGGTTGTCCAGGGGGCTACTTCCAGGTGAAGCATTGGGGCTTCATGATAAGTGAATATGGAGGTTGTGAACAGCTAGAGTCTAATGACTTTTTTCTTCTTCCTCAGCCTTGCCTCCTGTTGCTTGGACTGTGTGTAAGTGAAAACCCAGAAGTCAGCTGGCAGCTGAGCTAGTTACGATGGAATCACAGGTAAGTAGGAAATTACTCTTTCTACTGAAATTGCATCTCTATTTTCAGTATATGGACATATTTCTCCTACAGGCACACGTGTTCTAAGCACACTCGAGAGATTTTTCAAGGATCTGAGCTTCAGTTAAGTTTCCCCAGAATTCTGGAATGGTCATGTTGGATCAAGGACTCATCAAGTGGTAACTCCTTCCCAACATCACACTAAGATATTCCAGTCTCTACTAATGCTGTGTATTCATAGAAGAGATGAGAGAGGTTTTCTTTTTCTCATCAAGACCATGGCCTAGTTGGCAAAAAAAACAAAAATTAGTCATTAACCACTTTATTAACTGTAATGAACTTAGGATTGAAGTGAATACTGGTGATAAAGATGAGTGAGGAGGAAAACATTACAAACCAATAGAGAGTCAGATGTTTCCACAGGTGAGGTCAGTCAATCCAGTGTTACAGGTGCTGGGGGGAGTCTCAGAGCCTCTGGCTTGAGCTGCTGAATCAGTTATCCTTTATAATGAACACCTAAGTTTTGTAGAGATAAAAGCCTACACCTGCTGATCCCAAGACCTGTATGAATTCTAGTCAGTTGTGCAGAATCCTGGATGTTGCTTCAGTATTCTCTGCCGTTTCATAAATAATAAACTTAAAAGTTATATTTAAGAAATATTTGCTAGATAGTTAGTACTTTACACATTAGCTCATTAGATCTTTCAGAACTCATGAAGATTATTAAACCATTTCACTGATGAAGAAACTGAGACCATAAAGGGGAATAATCTAACCATAGCCATGCTTTTTTTTTTTTTTTTTTAATATATTTTTGGCTGTGTTGGATCTTCGTTGCTGCACATGGGCTTTCTCTAGTTGCAGCGAGCAGGGGCCACTCTTCATTGCGGTGCGCGGGCTTCTCATTGCAGTGGCTACTCTTGTTGTAGAGCATGGGTTCTAGGTGCACAGGCTTCAGTAGTTGTGGCATGCAGGCTCAGTAGTTGTGGCACACGGGATCTAGAGCACAGGCTCAGTAGTTGTGGTGCACGGGCTAGGTTGCTCCGCAGCATGTGGGATCTTCCCAGACCAGGAATCAAACCTGTGTCCCCTGCATTGGCAAGCAGATTCTTAACCACTGCACCACCAGGGAAATCCCACCATAGTTGTGCTTTAAAAGTGGCATATCGTGGATACTTCGTCCCTTGTGAGAAGCCTTTAAAAGATTTACTTGAAATTGGTTGAGAAGACTGTTTTCGATATAAGTTTTCAAGTGGAAATGTTATAATCATGATCTGGAAGCCGTAATCACAAATTTATTGGGAAATCTCCAGGGTATATTACACCACACATCATGTGTTATCTCTTTATAATGAAGTTTTATGTATCTAGAGTGTGTATGTATCTGTAGGTATATCCGAAAGTCAGATGTTCATGTCAACACTGAGAATGATGTGATTGGACCCAAAATACTGTTTGAGATTTCTGTACACTCGACCCCCACCTCCTTAGTGCTTGACACCTGTACCATCCTCCCCTGGCAGAGATGGCCCTATCTGAAACAATGTCCATAATATTTTAGGAATCAGTGACCTTCAAGGATGTAGCTGTAGACTTCACCCAGGAAGAGTGGGCCCTACTGGACACATCCCAGAGGAAACTATTCAGAGATGTGATGCTAGAGAACATCAGTCATCTGGTCTCAGTTGGTGAGTCTCTTACTCTTTATTATGTATGTATTCATTCATTCAACAAGTATGCAGAAAAGCTTTCCCATTTCTTACTCTAAACTCTGTCTTGATCCTTTCATAACTCTCACAACTACCTTATCACAGTTTTCTTTACTTCTTACTTACACTTAGTTTGTCAGTCCCACTACAGTATAATCTTCCTAACATAATTTTGTGTCTTTCTTGCTACTCAATCTCTGATGCTCAAACAGTGGTGGGAATTATTTTTGTATGGGTGAGTAAATGTATTGATTTTTTAAAATGTATTTCACAGCAAGGACTGGTTTGATCAGATCACAGTGTTAAAAATAACAGATATATTGTTTTCCACACAGAACTTAGATTTTTGTGGTGCATTTATTGGAAGTTGTATTTATTGGATTGTTTTTGGAGGCTGTATTTTTTGAATTCTTTTTGGATATAAAAACACCGTAGAATGAAAATATTGCAGATTCCACAATCTGTCTTTGAACTTGGGCATGGGCATTAGCTGTGATAGGTTCTTAATGTACTTGGGAACAAGTTCAAGAGCTATCATTTTGCTGGTCAAAGAGTATACATGTTGTTTTCAACGTACTCTTCTCTGTGCTGACCCTCAGAGGTTATTGTATTCTTCCTCATTAGTCTGCCCTGTACTGATGCACTGTTAATAAGCACAGAACTCAAAATCCACATATCTTTCTCCTACAAACAGGCAATCAGCTCTACAAATCAGATGTGATTTCCCATTTGGAGCAAGGAGAGCAACTTTCAAGAGAAGAGTTAGGTTTTCTGCAAGGCCAGAGTCCAGGTGAGATCCAAGAAGCTGTGCTTCAATAGGAGGAGGAGCCTGGTCAGTGAGTGAATAGGCCCTAAGAAATATCACGTGAAGATATCTAAGTTTAGTGATATTTTAAAAATTTAGACAATATCATAGAAAAACTTTTCAGATGATGTCATACCTTGCAGGTATCAATTTTCTATTCACGTGTTTTTCTGCCTTTGTCTTTGGCTTTAGGCAAGGTGAAATTTATATACTCACTGGAGCTAATAAACATTCACAGAAAGTCCCTTTTCATGGTCCTGTTTTATGAATAGGATCTTCTCTTTTCCTCCTCAACTTGCCATCTTCTTTTTTTTCCTTCCTCTTAAGTGTTTGTTTATTTATTGGCTGCCCTGAGTCTTTGTTGTGGCACATGAGCTCTTCATTGTGGTGTGTGGGCTTCTCTAGTTGTGGCACGTGGGCTCAGTAGTTGTGGCTCCCAGGCTCTCTAGTTGTGGTGTGGGCTCTAGAGTGCATGGGCTGAGTAGTTGCAGCACACAGGCTTAGTTGCCCTGTGGCATGTGAGATCTTAGTTCCCCAACCAGGGATCAAACCTGCATCCCCTGCATTGGAAGGCAGATTCTTAACCACTGGACCACGAGGGAAGTCCCCACCATCTTCATTTTATTTTTCTCATATTTCAGTCCTGAGAATGACAATTGTTATAGTCCTATAATGTGTTTCTTGTCTTTAGAATATTCCATAATTTGATGTGCTTTCGTTTTTTTCTTTTCAGACTATTCCTTAATTTGACATTCTTTGCCATCTGCGTGTCAGTATTTGAAACATACACAAATGGGCATTGGGTCTCTTCACCATTTTAATTCCTAATACCACTATAGAGATTTTAATTTTCCAGTCATTTCAGGTAGAGAAGATGATCTGAGAAAACAGGAAATGATATCCATGCAACATATCTACAAGAAAGGCACATCTGTAATCAGTGCAATGGTAAGCTTCACGGGTGTAAACGTGTTCTTCCAAATGAAGACCTAGGAATTGAATAAGTTGGGAATTTGGCACACTTAGGGAACCTGATTTAATTAAAGTTGGGATCATGGGCTCCCACAGGAGAAAATTTTAGTTAGTTTGGTTTTAGGGAAGAAACATTAACCTGTAGTCAAAACCATAACTTGAGGTCTTATATAAACAGACAATTATATAATCATGGCTTATATTCCTAATCACTGAAACATAATAATGTCTTTAACATCTGTATAAACAGATGTCTCTGCAGTTGGGTTACTACAAAAGATAAAATCTATGCTTGCAAGAGAGTAATATCCCATGTTTATGTAAATAACATAGGGACAATTTTAACTGGAGTCTGTCACTGAATGATTACTCTAGAATTTATATGTAGAGGAATGAATGAAGGAATGAATAAATGTGGGCAAACCTGTAACAGTCTCTCATTTCCTTTCAAAAAGCAGAGATCTCACAGTCAAGAGGATCTTTTGGAATGCAATGATTTCAGAGAAAAATTTACTGAAATCTTAACATTGACTCAATATGTGATACCTCAAGTGGGAAAGAAACCCTTTATCAGCCAAGATTTTGGAAAAGCCATTAGTTACTTGTCATTCTTTAATATACATAAGCAAATTCATGCTAGAAGTAAATCATATGAATGTCATCAACGTACGAATGCCTTTATTCAAAGTTCTGCCCTTAGGCAGCACGATAATACTCAAACTGGAGAGAAAACATTTGAATGTCATGTATGTAGGAAAGCCTTCAGTAAAAGTTCTAACCTTAGACGACATGAGATGATTCATACTGGAGTGAAACCACATGGATGTCATCTGTGTGGGAAATCCTTTACTCATTGTTCTGACCTTAGAAAACATGAAAGAATTCACACTGGAGAGAAATTATATGGATGTCATCTGTGTGGGAAAGCCTTCAGTAAAAGTTATAACCTTAGGCGACATGAGATGATTCACACTAGAGAGAAACCAAATGAATGTCATCTGTGTGGGAAAGCCTTCACTCATTGTTCTGACCTTAGAAAACATGAGAGAACTCACTTTGGAGAGAAACCATATGGATGCCATCTATGTGGGAAGACATTCAGTAAAACTTCTTACCTTAGACAACATGAGAGAACTCACAATGGAGAGAAACCATATGAATGTCATCTGTGTGGGAAGGCCTTCACTCATTGTTCTCACCTTAGAAAACATGAGAGAACTCACACTGGAGAGAAACCATATGAATGTCATCTATGTGGAAAAGCCTTCACTGAGTCTTCTGTCCTTAGACGACATGAGAGAACTCACACTGGAGAGAAACCATATGAATGTCATCTGTGTTGGAAAGCCTTCACTGATTCCTCTGTCCTTAAGCGACATGAGAGAACTCACACTGGAGAAAAACCATATGAATGTCACTTATGTGGGAAAGCCTTCAATCACTCTTCTGTCCTTAGACGACATGAAAGAACTCACACTGGTGAGAAGCCATATGAATGCAATATATGTGGTAAAGCCTTCAATAGAAGTTATAACTTTAGATTGCATAAGAGAATTCACACTGGAGAGAAACCGCATAAATGTTATCTATGTGGGAAAGCCTTCAGTAAATATTTTAACCTTAGACAACACGAGAGAACTCATGCTGTAAAGGTAGTAAATGTGGAAGATTCACCACCCATAGCTTCAAAGTATAAACACTATTGTGGACTCCCACAGTGAAGAAATACTATGTTTATATTCAGTGTATAAGAGCCTTTATTCGTCCTTATTACTCCACTCAAAGTTAATACAAAGTGGAGAGAACCCATATGTATGTTACCTATGTAACAAAACATTTAGCAGTGGACTCAGGTGGGAGAACTGAAACTGCAAATGGAATGAATGTGGGAGAATCTTCATCCTCAGCTGTAACTGTTAAACTAAATGGATAAATCACATGTCAGAGAAATTCTATGTCTGTAATCAGTGTGGAAATGCCTTGAGTTATAAATTATCCTTTAAATAAATAAGTAAACTGCACAAGAGAGAAATTCTAGACCTGTAATCACTGTGCACTCTCGTTTAACTTAGCACCACCCTTAGCATTCATGAGAAGATTCAGTGTCGGGTAACTGCTAAGAAAAGAAATAAGTGGAAATAAATTAGTACATGAAGGAGATTGAAGACATTTGGAATATCCCATTTCTGGAATGCCTAATATGTTTACACTTATTGATGTAATGACAAAGTACTGCCCCTCCTAGTGATTCATAAAACAGAAAGCTGGGAGAGCAGAAAGAAGCCAAGATAATCTGATCTTGCCCATATTCCCATCACAACAGCCATGAATCCACAAATCACCAACTGGGAATGATACCCATGAGTCCCAGCCCCTCCCATATACAAATACAGAAGGCTAAGAGAGAAAAAGTTGGAGCTTCTTTGCTGCCAGGGTAACAGAAGGGCTGGTTCTTGGTACTCATTTGAACATGACTAATATCCGTGTTTCACAGGTGGCAAAACTGAGAACACAGATGCTTATAATTCATTTATCCCATGTTTTGCTGGGGGATACATATGGACTCAAAGTGAAGGGATGGGAAAGCATATTCCACATAAATGGAAATCATAAAAGCAGAGCTAGCTACACTTTTATCAGACAGAATGGACTAATTCAAAAACTGAGTTCACGAAGAGAATGTAACATTTGTAAATATGTTATACAATATAATACCAAGACTAAGTGCACAAAATATTTTATAACGATGGAATAGAGGAGGTCTTCCAAAATAAAAGACAACATGAAGGAAAGATTTATATTTTATCATATAAAAATTATAACTAAAATGGATCAAAGTGCAGGCATGTGTACATGTATAAGTCTGTGTGTGCACAATAAAACTACAGAATATAAAACAGTATGTAAAATTACATGAAAAATTGGCCAAGTAAGAAATTTAACTTACATGTACGTGTCTATGAAATAAAATGCATTGATAAATTTTATTCAGTAATCAGTGATGTGGAAAGAGACAAACAATACTCATTTTTCCACATACATAAAAAAATAATGTAGTATCAAGTCCTATTTAAAGCTGAGTGAAAAGGTTGTGGGTGAGGATATTGCAGCTTTAGGTAGAGGGTAGCTTGCCAAAATCTGTCAAAATATGAATGCACCATAACTTGAACCAGCAACCAAACTCCAACTTGCCCAAATCAGGGAACACTCTGACATGTGCAGATAAGTCATTATGCTGAGAAACAGCCACAAAAAAATTCTTTACAAATCAAGGAACATGAAGGTCTCCTTAGGATAGATGTAGTGTGAGCTATTTTAGACATTTAGGTTGATTGAATTTTTAAAAAGCAGGGAATAAAACCCACCCCATCATGTGGCTAAAATGCAGTCTTAATTTTCACTGTTACCAGTTTCTGAATTCTCCATTTTATTCTAAACAATATTTTGTGGCCAAATTCACACTGATTCACGTTGTTAAGGGTGGGATGTGTTATAAATTTAGGTAGGTCAAGTTTTCCATTATCAATCTTGTTTTCCAGCTATTCCTGCAGATTAATAAAAAGTTTGCAGTTCCTTTAATACCTTATCCATAGAGAATTGACAGTGCATCCAGATGTGACCCCTGCTGTGCTATGTCATTTAAACTATAGTGCTCATTCCCCATTCAGGTCACATCTGAGTGTGAAGTCCTTCCTATGATTATTCCCCAAATGGAGCCAGTTCACAAGTCACGGTAAGATGGAATCTATCCTGAGATGGAAGAGGGCTCAGGGAAGGCCATGAGTGACTGAGCAAATGTGTTGGTAAGATACATGAGAGAGATTAGCAGGTCCTGGAGAAAAAAAAAGTGTTTTAGGAAGAGAAAGTAACAACCAACAGAGAGGATGATTCCTAAGAAGCATTCCTGACTCCTCATTTCAAACGAGCTTTCTAAGGCAAGATCTAAGTCACTCCTGGGTGTTTGAAAATATCCCTTTCAGCATACCCCCTTCCTGTGACACAACCATACAGATAAGGAGGAATTCACTTGTGGATATGACAGTCGTCTGCTGTCCACTAAAACACTGGGAATTCAGGGTCAGTAAACTATGTGGAGCCTGCAGTTTGGTTTTCCCGTCCTTCAGAAAGTCCTATCCTGATGAGACCCACGTATTTCTTGGCAGCAGTGGGTGTGTGGGAGGGACTGACCTACCCTTGAAGCTGGAGACATCGAAGACACTTCTAGTACCTGATGACCATAAGATTTCCAGGAAAGGATGGGCAAAGATTTTCATTTATCCTAATTCTAAGCTTCCCAGTGTCCCACCCATTCCTAGCTCCTTCATCCCCTATAGCATTCTTTTCATTCTCCAAGCTCAGTTCACATAGCCACGTGTCCCTTCCAAATGGGAGAGGTATTTATGTTCTATGCTTAGTTTTAAAAGTCTTGGTCCTCCCCTACCCAACTGACCAGGAACTCTGTGCATGTGTTGGACAGGCAAGCAAGTCAGTGGGAGAAGCCAGTAGAATGTAGAAACCACTAGCCTCAGAGGAATAATGTAGCCTGAACGGAATAGGGCAAGGTTTACTTTATCACTCCTACATCTAAAGATTATAGACGATATTTCATACTCTCAAACAAGAGTAACTTCTCTTCTATGGTTTTAATCATAATTATCTCAAGTATTTAACATCTCTTTTCTAGAACATTACATTAAACTATCAGAAAATATACAATTAAGAACAAACTACCATCACTGGAAATCAAGAAGGAAAGCCAGCTATGTAAACACCTCTATGCAGTGTATTCATCCTGAACAGATGGGCGTTGTTGGAACAAAATTCAGGTACAATTCAGTCAGTCTTTGAACATTTACAAAGAAAGGATAAAGGGCGCTTACAGACTTTTAGTGGGAAACTTTAGTTTACAGACCACTAAGTTAAAAGATCACATAAGGGAATTGATGAAAATTATTATTAGACAAATTGGTTAAACAAGATTTTGACTGTTAATACAAAAAAAGTTTTGTCGATATGCTTACCAAGTGCATATTGAAATAGAATAATATTTAGTAAGCTCAAAAGAATATTTTCAGCATACAATAAAGAGTGGAAAATGATTGCCATAATCTGAAAGTGACACAAATTTAAGAGAAATAATTTTTAAAACACTGTAATGAATTTGAGATCTGTCATTCTTTTACTCTCTTCCTATTCTGTCTTACTCCATCTCTCTGCTGATACCCTTTTTGTCTGTTTTCATTTAACACACTGCTTCTTGCCCAGGTCACCGTCTGACTCTTCTCGTATCTAGAAAGTCCATCGGACCAACCTGTTCCTCCATCTTCTATGTTACCCTCTCATTTTCTCCCTCCCTGACTCACTGTCTCCCTGGTTCTCCCTTTGTCTCTCTTCCCCCTTCCCCCTCCCCTGCCCTTCACCTCCACATTCACAAGGATGGAATAAAGATGCCACCTGTGCAGGAAGAGTTCACATCAGGAATGTAAACATACCCTGGCAGGCACCGCCAGTGAGATGGGATCTGGGACAGAGGACACGGGTGTCACAGGACAGGGTCAGTCACCTTTCCTAGCCAGGGCTCAGGAGTGCCAACTAAAAATCGGCACATGTCACCTGCTTCTATAAGGACTAAGTCACAGACCTCTACAGCTGCTGACCTTCAACACCCCCTGAAAGGAGATCAGGATGGAGATGAGGAAGGAGGCACTCTGTGTTCTGGGGAAAACTGGCAGAACAGGTCTTCAGATAGCTGTTCCGCTCCTCGTGATGAGCAGCAAGCCGCTGCCAGAAGGTGTGCTTGACTGCACATACCGCCTTCACTGCAGTCCTTTATAACACTGACCTTCCCCTACTTCTCTGGAGCGGTTTCTCAGAGCTATCTGAAGTGCTGTCTCCCGGGCTATTGTCCTAATTTTGCCCCAAATAACACAGCTCACAACTCTCACCTTGTGCATTTTTTTTCAGTCGACAGGGGCTACCCAGAGGCAGTGACCGCGAAGGGGAGACCTGTGGAGGTACAGGGCCGAGCTCCATGAAGACAAGGAGGATGAGGTTAGTCCTCTCCCAAGGACTGAGGTCTGCAGAATCCCAGGGCCAGGGAGGGCATGGCATCCTGGGGCTGCGTTGAGGGCCAGGATGGGTGATGGGAGGTGAAGGGTGAGAGTCCACGTCCTGAGTGGGGACCTGGCACAGCACGAGGCAGGAGACGGTAAAGAGACCAAATGCGGAAAGGTTGGCAGGGACCTTTGAGTGCTTTTAAGCAGGAAAGGAAATGACCCAAACTCTGCTGCCTGGCCTCCGGGCGTTTCAGGATGAGGCATTCTCCCTGAGGGCGGGACAAGGGGGTGCAGTGCCTGTGACAACTGCAGGGACCCACAGACCCAGGGGTTAGACACTTCAGACACGCCTCTTGTCATAGGAGTCAAGCAGTATACTTCTGCCTCTACAAATTGTCCATTCCCCCAACCCGCCTGCCATGTCAAAGCTCCTGTGTTCATGTTTACATGCAGTGGGTGTCTGAGTGACGACAGTGTCTCCCCACCACATCTCTGAGACTCTATTTCCTTATGTGGGAATTAAGTCCAATGAAAGCTGAAGGGTAAAAGGAAGTGACAGTGCTTTGAAGTATAATTTGATTGGTTTTCTTTACTGTTACTAGAATTAAATTTTTTTTCCAGGTATTCCTTTGCAAAGCCCCCTCATTAAAGAACTACTCCTTTGTAGGGAGAGATTCAGCCATACCTAACACATCTTGGTGAGAGTCAGTCGGGTAGCCTGAAAAAGATATGGCCTCTCTAAAACATAATTCAGTGCACATAAGGGAACCTATTTCCACATTCCTGGGGTGGCGGGGGAACTTTCCTCCTCAAGGTACCCCTGGTCCTAGTACATGTGACCATCAAGTGACCTGAGGGTACTCACATGTTAGGGACCCTCAGCTTGAGATGTTTGCTGTGAGTTAAAGTACAGAACCCTGGTGAAATGAAGCAGTTCATATGTTTGGTTTAGACAGATACAATAAGGGAGATTCCAGTTCCCCTTCATGGGGACATGAGCACATTAGGGGAGTTAGTGAATAGGGTGTTTCCCAGTGTTGAAAATGTTTGCAAGACTTTTGTCCTACTGAGATTCTGCTGAGATCATCAGGATGCTTATGCAGCAACTCTTGTCTCATTTTTTTCATGATGAATTGTATGTTTATTTTAATATTCTAACAATGCCATGTTGGAAGTGAAGAAAACACAGCCATCCAGGAGTGGAAAGTGGGGAATGAAGAACATAAACACAATGAGTGTTGGCTGATAACCTTCACATCCAGCCTCAGATACACACTTTAGAGGTTTCAGAGCTCCCATCATAGGGAATCCCAAGTCATTTCCAAAGACAGACCTTCATGAACAGGGCAACACAGAAATACCCACATACCCCATATTGCTGTGGTTCTCCACCACCACATCTCTCCAGGGGTCTCTGAGAAAGGATCAGAATGTCTAGTTCTTTGTGAGGGAAGTTCACAGTCAATATTTGAAGTTGGCTCCTTCATACTCAATCAGGAGCCCTTTCCTTCTACTATTCATAGAGGAAGAATGAGTTTTCCAGATGAAGGAAAGAATGGTAGATGGCTTTTGAGTCATCTTAAGTGTCATAATTCCAAAAAGCATGTACTGGGTTCTGAGTCTTTCCTGTTGTGGATGTTAGGCCACTGTTTCTCATAAGATGCCTTCCTGTCAGAATGAGTACTGAGGACTAAGGGCAGCTGGGGGTGTGGGGATCAACAGGCCCTGAGAGCCGAGTCTTTAGTAACCTCACCTTTACTCAAGGTCCCTGCAGCGCCCACTCCTGTGCACAGGGTACCAACTTGCCTCCACAGAACCAGACACTACCCCAGAGACAGGCTGCCCACAGCACCTGTCTGACTGCGGTTCCTGCTCAACAGGCTGCACACGTGGGGAGGATCTCCAATTAGCACTCTCCCCTCACAGGTTCAGTACCTGCAGCAGCAACCTGGTTCTTTCACTGACTCTAGACTCTAGACCCCTGGACCAGTGACAAGGTCTCAGAACACAGCAGAATTTGTAGCACAGTATCATTCTTCCACCAACTCTGAAATTTCCCCTAGATGTCCTTGCTTGCCTTCCACCCCCCATTTCCACTTCTTCCTTCCTTGCATGCAATGAATATTACTAACTGCCAGGATGTTGAGGATTAAATTACATAATGTATTGAGGTCCCCAGCACAGCGCCTTGTACACATTGGAGCCTAACAAACCTGAGAGCACACAGGAGATGCTCAGTAAAGCTTGTTTTAGTGAATTGATGCATGTTGTTTCTCAAACACTGTCTTGCTCAGACACTGCTGATTTCTCTATTCTTCTCTCAATTTGATAAGGTCAACAAATAATATAATTTGGGGGAGGGGGAGGTAATGGGTGATATTGCTGGAACCAAATCTATTTGTGCTTAGAAATGATGTTGTGTCCCAGCATTTCCATTTTTAAGTTAAAAATAAAATTTTGGGGGCTTCCCTGGTGGCGCAGTGGTTAAGAATCCGCCTGCCAATGCAGGGGACACGGGTTCGAGCCCAGGTCCGGGAAGATCCCAAATGCCGCAGAGCAACCAAGCCCATGTGCCAGAACTACTGAGCCTGTGCTCTAGAGCCCACCAGCCACAACTGCTGAGCCTGCGTGCCACAACTACTTAAGCCCGCGCACCTAGAGCCCATGCTCCGCAACAAGAGAAGCCACTGCAATGAGAAGCCGGCACCGCAACGAAGAGTAGCCCCCGCTCGCCACAACTAGAGAAAGCCCTCATGCAGCAACGAAGACCCAACGCAGCCAAAAATAAATAAATAAATTTATAAAATAAAATAAAATTTCATCGGTCCCTCCCAAACTTCCTGAATCATAATTTCCTAATGTTGAACCCCTGATCTCCAAGAGATTTGCATGTATATTACAGCTTAAAAAGCAATATTTACTTAAATAATTCTCAACACTGCTTTCCCATTGGGAAACCTTAGGTAATTGTAAGAAATACCATCACTCCAGAAATTATTTCAGTTGTTCTGAGGATGAGCCTAGCATCAATACTACTTTAACAAAACCTTCACGACCACTTTATTTGCAGATCAAAGAACATTTATTAACCCTCAGGTGATTCAAATATCAGGTTGCTATCTATATTAGATCTTAAAATTCTTTGACTCTTGTGGTCATCAGAGGATTCCAGAAAGGAGAAGTTTTTCTGTGCTTCTCTAGACTTTCAACTGCCAGAAATTAAGACCCACGACACTCTGTTTCTGTTGTTGTTGTTTCAAAATTCATGACACAGTGATGAGGCAGGAGTACCGCTATCGCCACTGCTGGAAATGAAGATGCAAAAAGGTTGTCTTAGGCTGCTCTGAGCCCCTGACTCTAAGCTAAATCCCCAAGGATGTCCCGGAAAAGGTGGTGCTAGAATGGAAAGCAGGAAGACAGCAACACACCAGCAGGAACAAACGTAAAATTTTCTCAACACACCAGCAGGAACAAACGTAAAATTTTCTAAGTCCTCCAGGAAGCCCTGCAAGGTTCGTGTAGGCATGTGTTACCCTCTGCTGGCCTGGGCACATTGAAAATGGGATCTACCAACAGCCCCTCTGAGATATGAAAACCAAGATGTCAGACTTCAAAGGAGCTGATCAGAACAGAAGGTAGAAGGGCACCTAGATGGCAAGGGCTGAGACTGTGCTGGACATATAAGGTATGTTGTAGGTGAGGCTTCTCCTTGCTGGGCACGGATCTGGTTCCTGTCTTTGTAGGGGTTGGCGTAACTCCAGTGTCCAGGGATGGGCAAACCCTGGACCAAGGCCTCTTTTCCTCTCTCTGGTAGTTCTCTTCTCCTAAGTGTCTCACAAGTTCCCAAGTTCTCCCATGCTCTCCTCAGGTTGGTTTTCTTTTCCCTCCTGATGTTCATCTTTGCCTTGCAGAGCAAGTTTCCTAGCACAAACCTAGAACTAAGACTTCAAACTACCCAATGGGCCCAACGTCATTATCTTGTTATTCAGTTAGAGATGTCTGTATTCTTTTATCTCCTTAGGTGTATTATTATTATACTTCCTCATATTAATGTCATAAGGATAATAATCACTATAGTTATTTATTATTATTAAGTTTCTTATTATGGATTTTCGTGTGTGGTTATAGCTACACAGCATTGACTAGTGATTCTCTACTTAAGAAAGATGTCTGATTTTCAGAAGATGATTGCCAAGGGTTCTCAAACAGACACACATTCACAGTCTCCCATGCTCCTTGCCATACCACTTAGTATCTTTTCAATAAGCAAAACCCTTATTTTTCAATTCCAGCTCCAGAAGCAGGGACAAACCTGTGAGTAGGTGAGTTCCAGATGAGGATTCCATTGATCTTAGTGAGGCCCTGCTCACTTTACAACAGCTCTTCAGGGACCAGGAATCTCTTTTTCCATCTGAAGAGACCCAGGGAAGTATTCCTTGACCTGCTAGAGAAACCACAAAGATTTGTAAGCCAACTCAGGGATGCAGAAACCATTCTTATCTTCCTGAAAATGTTGTAGAAGGTATCTCAACCTGACAGAGCATTGTCAGAATTTTCTGTGTCACTTCAGGAGGTCCAAAGTACCATTGCTGAAAACTGAAGAGCACAGAGGATGAGCCACACCTGCCAGAGCCTCTGTAAATATTCTAAGTCCCCTTGGGTGCCCAGAAAAGCCAGGGGCTGAAATGGAAGGCAGGGAGAGTGAAACACACCAGAACAATCAATTGAAGAACTTTATAAGTTCTATGTGGCTACAAGGAACCTCTAGTGCCTGCTCGTGTCACACCTTGCCAGCTGGGAGCTCCAATAGTAACATCCTCCAAGAGCCCCAGAATGATATATATGAACACAGATGTCTGGACCTCAAGGGGCCTGGGTTGATCAGATGGCAGAAAGAAAGCTAGGCACTGAGAACTGAGATAGCACTGGGAGCTTAATGTATGTTACTGGTGGGGTTACTGTATCCTGGATGTAAATCTGGGGTCAAGTTTTGTCAGCCCATTGACCTGAATCCTGATATCTGGTGGGAATACTTTTCTTTAAAGTATTTATTTATTTATATATTTGGCTGTGCTGGGTCTTAGTTGCAGCACACAGGATCCTTGTTGTGACATGCGGGATCTTTTAGTTGCAGCATGCAGGATCTTTAGTTGCGGCATGCAGACACTTAGTTGCGGCATGTGGGATCTAGTTCCCTGCCCAGGGATCGAACCCGGGCCCCCTGCATTGGGAGTGTGGAGTTTTAGCCCATGGACCACCAGGGAAGTCCCTCTGGTGGGAATCCTATGACTGGTAGGCTCCAGACCTGTGTCCTCCACCTCTGCTGGGGAGATCCCTCTTCCCAGGGTTGGTACAGGAGATCCCTCATTGGCCCATATTCCCCTTCTTTGGTTTTTACTTCCCTCCTGTTCTCATCCATGACTTTCAAAACACATTTTATTGTGCAGACCTAGGGTTCAAACTCCAAAATATTCCGTGATGTCCAATAACAGTATCTGGTCACTTAGGTAGGAGAGTCTGTATTCTAGTCTACAATCTCCCTAGGTTTCTAATTATTATCATTTTTATAGTTACTACTTTTATTATAATTAGGATAATCATCATTATCAATGTTGTTACTCATTATGATTTTTACTATTATGTTTTTTATTATGCATTATTTTTGTGGTGGTAGTTATACAGCACTGAGCAGAGTTTCTCTTTTCACCTAGGTGTCAGGTTGACTGAAGATAAGGGAAGGTCCCTCAACATACCTACATACCTACACAGTCACAGTTCTCCCAGGTTCCTGCAGTAGCCTTTTTTTTTTTTAAGTGAAACACCTTCATCAGTTTTTTTTTAATAGTATTTTTAAATTAATTATTTTTGGTTGCATTGGGTCTTCATTGCTGTGCATGGGCTCTCTCTAGTTGCACTGAGTGGGGGCTACTCTTCGTCACGGTACACGGGCCTCTCACTGCGGTGGCTTCTCTTGTTGCAGAGCAGGGGCTCCAGGTGCATGAGCTTCAGTAGTTGTGGCACACGGGCTCAGTAGTTGTGGATCACGGGCTCCAAAACGCAGGCTCAGCGCAAGGGCTTAGTTGTTCCACGGCATGTGGGATCTTCCTGGACCAGGGATTGAACACATGTCCCCTGCATTGGCAGGCGGACTCCCAACCACTGTGCAGGCAGAGAAGTCCCCCTGCAGTAGCCCTTGAGGCTGTTTGTCAGATGAGCCTTTTGAAATATTAGAAGTCTCCTTCCAGAGGCAAACCCCGCCTGGACATCTGGAAAATTTTACAAGTCTTATTGAGGGCCCCCAAACTGCTTTGCTGGCCTTAAGGACCCAGAAGGCTGTCTTAGACTAGCCAGAGCCTTCACATAATTTTCTAAGACAATTCAAAGGCACAGGAGGTGCTGTTACCTTCCTGGAAAAGCTGCAGAGGGCATCCTTGCCCACATGAGCCTCCTCAGAATTCTAAAAGTCAGCACAGAGGCTGGAAATCTGGCTTTAAAAACAATTGAGGCTCAAGGGAGGCATCCTAGGCCCCCCTGAACCTCTGGGAATGTTCTACATCCCCTTCGGTGTCCAAGAAAGGCTGGTGCTGGACTGGATGGCAAGGAGGGGACAACCTGTCATGCGACCTACCATCAAATTTTCTAAATTACTCAATGAACTCAGTAACAGCTCAGGCTGCTACTGTCGCCCCTGCTGGTTGAGGAGCACTGGCTGAGATATGTGAACTGAAATTTCTGGACCTGAAGAAGCTAGGTAAAGAACAAGAAAGGCAACCAGGCCATCATGACTTAAAGTGCCTAGTAGAGGGGGCCTTTGAGCAGCAGGTGGATCTGAGCCCTGCCTTCTTTGCAGGGACCCAGGCCATCAGAAAATTGGCTCAACCCCTGAAATTCCATGAGGTTCCTGTAGCTGGTTGGTTCTAAAACAGGGTCTCTCTATGTCTGCCCTATAGGGATCTCTTCCTGGGGTTGGCATGGGAGTTCCCAAGATTGCCCATGTCCTGAATATTATTACAATAATTCCTTATCATTATTGTTGTTGTTGTTATAAAACATTGAATAAAGTTTCTTGATCCGTGAAGAACTGTCTCATTTCCTGAAGATGACAGAGGGTTCCCAAAGCACACACCGCTGCTCTCTGGCTCCCAGGTTAGCTCCACAGTCACTTCCCCCAGGGAACTTCCAGAAACTTTCCAAATACACTGCCAGATGCCTGGACTGGCCTTTTTTTTTTTTTTTTTTCCTCAGGAGAAACTCAGGGAGGGCATCTTGCCTGTCTGAGCCCCTGGAAAATATTCTAAGTCACCATAGGTCCAGCTTTGAAGTGGTTGCCTATTTGAAGTGGATGCCTCAACAATCAAAGCTTAACTCAGGCACTTTTATTACAAAAAAGAAAAACCAACTGTCACAATATACATTACAGACATTTAAATGAACAAAAATAAGAGTTGTCTCAAATGACAGATTGTTTTCCAGATGAATATTTATGCCCTATCTTGCTTTTACTTATTTCAAAACCAGCATTTCAGAATAATGACTACATATAAATAACAGTGCATTTCATTTTTTAAATAAGAAAAATTAATATTGTTACTATGACTTAGTTGGATTACACAAGAAATCAACATGACTAGCTAGTCTAAAACATCATTCTTGAAGTAAGCAATATTTACAATAAACAAAAAATACACCATTGGCAAACCATTAATTTAATTTAATTTAAACCTCAATTAACGAATATCTACATTAAATGTGATAGTTTCCTTACATTATTTCTCCTGTTTGACAGAAACTATTAGCTCAATGAAAGTGGGTTCTGCTGCTCCCCAGTGATCTCTTTCTGTCATAGAACCTCCAGATGTAGCATGGGCCTACTTACACCTTGGTTTTGATGTAGCATAAGTGATTTAGGACTTCCGGGTACAGAGTTGTAAGAGACTAATTTTGTGTTACTTTAAGTCACCGAGTCTGTGGTCATTTTAGAGTAACAGTAGGACATTATCCATGGAAGAATATCAATACAATCAACATTTAGATGGAATACAGTATGACCATGAGCAAGGTGCCTTGCTTTAAAACGGGTTAGGGAGCTACAAGCAGAATTGGGAAGAGCATAAACAAATAAATCAAATCACATACATTGCTATCTTTATGTTTATTTGTTTCTGATTGTTACAGATTATGATTTTGATAAGAATAAATAAAGCAGTCCTTTAATAACTTGGTTCTATTTTAAAAAGTGTATTGGTGCAGACATCTTCCATCAGAATTGCTGTATGTTATATTGTGTACAAGTTCACAGAAAATGAATTTGTCAAAACTCAATTTACCAAATATAGCAAATTTCCCACTCACCAACCTCACTGATTTACCAAAATGTAATTTGTGTCAAACATAAATACATTTTAAGGAGATTTCTATTTGGAAGGGATGATTTTTTAACACAATTTAAGGTCAGCTAGGTATTTCATTTGACCAGTTACCACTGGATTTAATAGATCCAGTAAAATGAATTTGTTGAGTTTCAGTGTGGTTTCGTCTTCTAATGAGTTAACATTCATTTAGAGATGTATACATTAAGATGTTGTGTACATGTATACATACATTCACAATAGTATTCAGCCTTTCAAAAGAAGGAAATATTGCCATTTCAACAATGTGGATGAATATAGCTGATGTTATGCTGAGTGAAATAAGCCAGACACAGAAAGACAAATACTGCATAATATCACTTACATGTGGAATTTAAGAAAGTGGAACTTACAAAGACACAGAGTAAAATGATGGTTTTCATGGGCTTGAGGTGGAGGAAATGTGGGGCTTTTTTAGTTGTAAGATGAATAACTTTTGGAGGTCTAATGTAGAGCATAGTGATTATAGTTTAAAATACTGTATACGTGAAATTTGCTAAATGAGTAGATCTCAACACACACAAAACAGTAAATCTGTGAGGTGATGGATAGGTTAATTAGCTTGATTGAGGGAATCATTTCACAATGTGTATGTATATCAGAACATCACATTGTACACTTTTAGTATATACAGTGTTTGTCAATCACACCTCAATAAGCTGGAACAAATAGTTTGAAAAAAGGAAAAAAGGAAATAGAGAACAGTATGGATCCTCTTGCTGCAGATTCTGTGCTGTAGTAATAATAACAATGAAAAACCTCAAAAACAGTGAAACCTCTGGGAAAGAGCAGGAAGTTTGCTTCTGAGACCTTTAGAAGACGTGCAGAAGTAAAGGACTTGGTCAGTTTTTAAAAGTTGTATCTACATGATTTACCTAAACAGGGGGATATATTTTGTTACTGGGAATGCTTGATTGGATTTATCTTGACAGACACTCAAGTTATTTAGGGTGTGTCCTTTGGGTTACATGGTGAGAGAGGTTAGATGGTTGATGGGATTATAGTTTATGAGGTTATATGATTGATGAGGTTATCAACTGCATAAAAAGAGAACTCACATCAGAGCAGTGTTTTGTGTAGAGAAAGAAGTTCTGAGCTCTGGAGTGTGGTGACAGCAACCTCAGGAAAGACCTGGCTTCATTGGATTTTCCATCCATTTGATTTCTGGTAAATAATGAAGATAATTTTCACAAGAAGTTGCAAATGTCATTTACTTTAAAAATGAATTTTAATTGAAAAATGATCACATAATCTGTCTACAAGAATTTGGGGTAGGCCCCTTGAGGGTTGGTTCGGTTGTTATGGACATGGAAATTTTCTAGATTAATCATTTCTACGTCGTGGTCACAGGGAATTGTACCTAACCTTAGAATTCAGGTAATATTTTTTTGTAGTTATACCAGTGGAGAGCACAGTAAATAAACAAACAAGTTGCCTAAATGAATAGTAGAATTATATTTAACACAAAGGGGAGGGAAAGAGGAAGGCTAACTGCGGTTGAGATTTAGAAAAGGGATCTTTGGGGAGTTAACATTTAAACCAAGACCGAAAGAAACTGTGTATGGTGTGAGGGTGTATGTGTGGATGAAGAATGCTAATGGGTCTCCGTGTAGGGATGAGAGCAATACCTAATTGTATTTGTGTGGTTCTCTGAGGGCATGTAAAAGATCAACCCCTTGGGCTTCCCTGGTGGTGCAGTGGTTGAGAGTCCACCTGCCG